CATCCCGTGCTGTGGGTTAGCAGGGGTACTGCCCCACTGAATTTTGATATGAAATTAAATGGCACCTTGAAGCGATTAAGACATCTGTGACAAAAGGGTACATCTTTGAATGCTTTCCTTCCCTCTTGTTTTATTAAGATAAAGCTTTCTTGGGGATTGCAAGGACTTTAAGTGGTATATTTCTTTTTTCCCCTAAACCCAGTCATTCGCACCGTTTAACTGTATTGACCAAATTTCCCTTTTTTTTTCAACATTTTTCTTTGGGTTATAATCCCCAAAGCTTTTTTTTTCCCCCCACCTATTGTCCTTAAAAGAATTGTTGTTTCCCTCCCCCCATGGCCATGGCTGCATCCCCCCAACAAAAACCCCAAAAATTTGTTTTTTTCCATGTGCCTAGGACAAAAGGGTAACTAACACCACCACACACAACACCCACACACACCTACCCACCCCTACACACACCCCAAACACCCCCTTTCCCACACCTACACACACACCTACACACACACCTCACACACACCTACACACATACACACACACCTACACACACACCACACACAACACAAACAGGCCTATGTTAATCGAATGTCCCTGGGCCCAAAAGGTAACAACCGGGGACCGCTGCCTCCGGTCGAATCCACGGCCCCCGCCCTGCAGGGGAAAAAGTTCCCGGGCCGGACACCCTGTGCTCGCGACATGGGGTGGGGGGGGAAAAAGTCCCCTAATTTGGGGTGTGCTGGGGTTGGGGGGTGAGGGGGGGGATTTTTGGGGAGGTGCATGGTGGGGGGTTTGAGGGGGGTCATTTTTATACCCCGGGGGCACCCCCGGGGGGGGGAAGGGTAAAGGGCATTCCCACCTTGATTGCGCATGTTTTTCCCCCTGCCCGGGACGGGAAATTTCTGTTTATGATAGGTGAGCCCTTCACAAATTGTTTTAGCAAGGCTCCCAGACATAACAGGAGAAAAGAATGGTATCAATCCCGACAAAAAAAGGGTTTATAAGCCCCTGGGTGCTATCAGTTTCCAGACTAGGGGACGTCATTTTGTTTTTGTATATACCTCCCCCAGTCTTCAATTTTTTGTATTGTATTGAAAAAACCCAAAAGTCTACAAACAAAAACCCCAGATGTTGAAATGTATTTTTCTTCTAAGCTGAAAGCTTATTGCATTTCCCCTCTTTATGTTCTTATGCTGTTTTTGATAATGCATGCCCCCCATAGCACATTAATGTAAGTTGTATCAAGCCCATGCAAGCAAAAGCGGGCCCGAAACCCACACCAAGTAAAAAAATTTGTCATAAAATAGACATCCCAGAAAAAAATAAGTTAAAAAAGCAAGATTCCTCAGATTTATATTATGCCTGGGAGGCTGCCCTTACGGGGTCAATACCCCTGTTACCCAATATATTTAAAGACTCTGCATGCCAATGCTGAGAAATACATATTGTTCCCCCTTTCCTGGCTTCGATATAGATAGGTAGGTAGGCAGAGGTTTTTATGCGATTAACAACCAGGATAAAGCCTGCCCCCACCCATTTAGAAAACCCAAAATTTTTCCCCTTCCCCACAGAAATGCAAATAAAAAATTGGGTGTCCCGGGCCCCCACCCAAAAAAAACCAGACGGCGTTTTTTGGTTTTTCGTCCCAGTGATTTTCCCCCCAAAGTTTCTTAATGAGTAAAAGAGTCACAAGACCTAATTTTGCAGTGTGGGAAAGTTTTAAAAGTTTAATGGAAATTTAAAAATATTCAAAAGGTTTTAAAGTCGTCTTTTACAGTGTCTAGTTTTAAAAAAAAGTATTTTTTTTACAAAAAATTTTTTTTTGTTCGAATTTTTGGGGGATTGCGTGCTAAGGGTTTTCCCAGTCTAAACCCTTTAATTTTTTTTTTAGAAAAGCCATGGTTCAGGGGGTAAAATAGGTTTTATCAAGAACTGTTAAGAAAAAAAAAAGGGACAATACGTGATGGGAAAATACAAAAAAAAAACCCCCACATAGGGGGTAGAGAAGCTTTTGAAAAACGTTTGGTCCGCTTGGACCATTTACGTCACAGACCAAGTTAATGGGGCGGGGAAAGGTGCCTTGCTTTCAAAAAGAAATGTTTGGGTTTAGCATATCTAATGTAGTATGTAGAGTAGTGTAATGGGAAGACTATAGGGAAAATTTAGGCAACTTTAATTCCCAAACGTTTCGTACACATTTGCTTCTTCGTCGAATACAGAAAATAGGGAGGAACCCTAAGTGTGAAGGAGTAAATAGTCCATACCTTTGCTACGGTAGGCGAAAATTTCGGAATAAAGTGCCTAATGTTGCCTATGGTCTTTCCCCCAACCCGTCGGTATTGTTAAAACCCTTTTTTGGTTCATCTGTCAACACTGCAAAATGGCATCTTGGTAAGAAAACACCTTGGCAACCTTTTTCAAATGAGAATTGAAGAATTGAGACTTAACAAACATGGGGTCTTTTTTGAAAAAAGTTTTGCCCCAGTGGGTTATCTCCAAAACAAAGTAGAAATGGGGAAGGAGAGGGGGGTTTCTTCAATAAAAATTCCCATTGTTGATAAGTGTCTCAATTCTTCAATTTTCGGTTTCAAAAAAACCCTTCTCACAGTGGAATTGTTGGATCTGGAAGGACATGCCCCTTTAGTGGTACATTCCACTACTACCTGCACCTCTCCTTCCGACAGTATTAAAGTCTCCGCACGCGCTTTATCTTTAGATAGTTCCCCGATAGGAAAATGAACTTTTCCGGTGAGGGGTGACAACCCCCAAATTCTACTTCAAGGGTGATGGGTGATTACATGTTTTTAATCTCTCTGTTCCTGCTTACTTTCTGTATGACTGAAGAAGCTACGGTAGGGGAAACGTTTCGGAATAAAGTTGCCCAAATGTTGCCCGTGTCTTACCACCAAACCCGTCGGTTTTTTATACCATTTTGAGTTAGTAGTATGTGGTGGTAAAAATAACAAAAATGGGAGCCGGCAAGACTGGGTACAAGAGAGAAGATGAAGAGAAAATAATTGTTAGGGGGACTTGCGTATTTTTATTGAGGGAAAAAAAAAAAGGAAATCCGTTTGTGGGGGGAAAGAATTTATCTGGGTTAAAAAACCGGTTTTCAGAGGGGGAGGGGAGGGGAAGGGGGAAGGGAGGGGAAGGAGGAGAGGCCCCAAGGAAGAAAGATAGGGGGGGAAAAAATCCCCTTTCACATGAACGAGACATCAATGTGGTAAAAAGGTTTAAAAAAAAACCCACAAGTGAGGAAAAAGAGACACTTTCGTATTTTTGGAACCTTTGCTGAGGAAACGTTTCGAGCCCGTGGCTACTTTGCCCAGTACGAAGGGCGGTAAAAAAAGGGGGGGTTTGAGGGAATCAGTCCCTCAGTCTGGAATCGTTGAGTCCTCAATCCAAGACTGACGGACTGAACACTTTTACTCCAGGCTGAGGGACGATTACCTCAAAACCTTCTTGTTTTTTTACCGTCCCCTTTTTGTACTGGATGACGAAACCTGTGTGGCGGAAGTTTCTCAATAAAGGTTTCCCAAATTTGCCGGTGTTTTTCAAAAAACAGTCCCCCCACTTTTTTCATGAACATGATCACAACCACAAAAAAACATGCGCATGTGTGTGTGGGCGTGGTGGGGGTGTGGGAGTGGTGTGGGGTTTTGGGGGGTGGGGTGGGGGGGTGGGTGGTGGGGGGGGTGTGGGTGGTGGGGTGGGGGTGTGGGGGTGGTGTGGGAGTGTGGGTGGTGGTGTGGGGTTGGGTAGGGTTTTGGGGTGTGGGTGGTGGGGGGGGTTTTTTGGGTGGGGGTTGGGGGTGTGGGGGGGGGTGGAGGGGGGGGTGGTGGTTGGGGGATGTGGGGTGGGGGGTGGGGGTGTGGGTGGTGGTTTGGGGGGGGTGTGGGGGATGGGTTGGGGGGTGGGAGTGGTGTGGGGGGGTGGTGGTGGTGGGGGGGGGTGTGTGTTTGGGGTGTGGGGGGGGGGTATGGTGTGGGGGGGGGTGGGGGGGGGGGGTATGTGGGTGGTGGGTTGTGGGGGGTGGGGGGGGGGTGGGTGGTGGTTGGGGGTGTGGGGGCGGGGGGTGGGGGGTGGGAGGTGGGGTGGGGGGGGAAAAAGACGTCGAAACTAGAGGGGGGTGTTTTCTTATATAAATAAGGTACCCCACCCCCGCCTCCCCAACCCGACCCAACTCAAATCGAAAAATCCCCAAATCTGCAAAAAATCACCAAAACTAAAAACAAAATCACAAAGCTGAAGCAACTTATCTGACAGGTAGGAGCAAAATGCCCCGAGAGTAGGTACAGATCTCACAAGAGGGTGGACTTGAACCATGGGGGTGAGCCATAGGTCAGGGGTGCCGTAGGAACAATTCCAGCATTACTGTAAATGTCAGGCATACAGCACCCCAATTACCTACGTAGGTAAAGTACAGATTTCCCTGAGTGCCAGCAGGTAAAATGGCAGCTCTGCCGTGAAGAAGTAGTAGTAGTATGTTTGGGTTTCCGGAAGTGAATGTTTGGGGGACAGAAATTGCTATAAGAACATCTGAATCTACAATCTCTCCTTTTCTCACAATTTTTTCCCTTTCCCTCAAAACCGTGATATAGGCGGTGGAAAAGGCGAATTGGGGTGGTTCTTGTGGGGGGCGGGGGGCGTGGGGGTTGGTGTGGGGGTGTGTTCCCCCGTCACCCATCAGATGCCAAATCATTGGCAGGTAAATGCACTTCCCCGGGACCACTTTTGTCTTACATGTTATATTTTTCCATGTTTTTCATTCTTTTTTAGAATAGCTGTGTGGTTTGCTGCAAAGCATACATACTTGCATATGTAATGGTTAGATGGGACAATTTATAAACAAAAACTCGAATAACCAATTTCAAAGGCCCAAGGAAAAAAATCCTATGACCCTTTTTTGAGTTATCCTAGGTAATATACACAATTTACTCTGTATGATAATTTGTGTAACTTTATTTATGTGTATATGTGCCTAAATAAACTTATTTAATATAATATTCAATGTTTCAGGAGAGGCAGCAGTAGGTTCATGGACCGGGTCATCAGCGGAGAGTGGGAAGTGGCAGTCACTGGCGCAGGTTGGAGCCACGATGAACAACCCACTTAGGTTCAAGTGAGTAAATTTGGAGCAGGCCGATCAGTGTGGCTGTTGGTGTTTGTGACTCGCAAGTAAATGTCAGATTGTCTTCACTTCTCTCTTTGTAAGGTGAAATTCAATTACGAAATAAATTATTACCTTGACTCTTGAGGGAGACGATTGATCACATCAACATAGTATTGTGTGTGTGTAATATTGTTGGTAGAATTACCGATAATAATTTAGGTAAAAGGAGACGTGTTCTTGAGTGAAATAAATGTTCTTGACTGAATGAAACGTTGTTATAATAAAGTTTTCCTTGAGGCCTGTTCATGGGTCGGGCTGCGGGGGCGTTGACCCCTAGAACACCCTCCAGGTATACTCCAGGGGAGAAGCGCTGTTGTAAAACTCACACTGTCTTGTGTTTTGTCATCCACTTGGCTCACCGACTCTACTACTAAAACGATCGTTGCTGACTAGGCCAAGTCGACAAGTTCTGGCTATAAAACACGATATGTGTATTTTCCGCAGGTTTCCTCGAGCACCGCACCTGCGGGTGGCTGCAGAGTCATGGCCGCCGCATGTGGAGGTATTGCTGAAGGATGTTAGTGGACCAGGGGTGCTGCAGGAGACCTTCCTGACTGTAATACACGGACCCATGGCCGACTTCCTCAGCGCCCTCGCTGCCTCTCTCAACTTTACGTCAGTTACTTGTCTTAGAAGTTAGATACTTTAAAAGACGTATTATGCACCCCATGATCTTGGTGGTAGTCGAAAGATTACAAAGGAACATAATGAGCCCAGGGACTGGATCTCAGTGTTAGGTTGGCTAAGCGAGTTACTAATTGACTTAGAAAACCATATGTTATATATTTTGTTACTGGTTTCATTTCCCATTGATATCTTAAGAACAAACGCTCATCAGGGGAGGTAGGTACCTACACATCACCAGTCAGTGGGAGCTTTTAGTCCCAAGAATTGTGCCTTCCTTTCCCTTCCTTGGATCGAACCTGAAGGCCTCTCATTTCCTCAGGTGCTGTGACCAGTACGGGTTTGGCACTGACCCTATGAATGCAATATTAATTGAGAATTATCCAGTGATGCGACTACTTCCCAAAATAAAAGTGCTAAAACCTCTGGCTGCTGAAGCACCGTAAAGAGATGATGTACCTTGAACACCTCTTTACAAGGATCAGCTATTTCAGATACTATTTATTATTATATTAAAGATATATAACACCAACAAGCTAATGAATCAGACACATGTGCGGCTCTTGGGTGTCGTTCCCATATTTTATTCTGGAGCAACGTGGGCACATAAATAGATTATAATAAACCCATTAGTTATCTAGTCACAAATCACTCCTTAAGTGTGTGTTTAATTGTAGCATACATATATATTTTCTTTCTACAATGATCTTCAGAGCACACATGTCATGGTCACATACAATAGTACATTATGTAGATTTACCCAAGAAAAACCAATGCAACTTATTTTCGTTGGTGCCCTGAATTACTCGGTATTGAGGATAAATATTAATTCCCATGTCTTTCACCACTGTCAATGAAGACCTAAGATTTCACATATATGGTGGTGACTACCGACTTTCCTGTTGTAGGTACACGATAGTACAAGGCGACGGCTACTGGGGAGCACCTAGTGACAATGGTACCTGGAACGGCATGATAGGCATGTTGCTAGAACAGGTTAGTATTTATTGTACAACTGTTGTATACCTCGCATGCCAAGTCTGATATTACACAGCATCACTCTACCATTAATATGAAAGACAAATCAACATTTTAAATATCAGTGTAGCTTACAAAGAAAAGAAAAAACTCGTGAAATTGTATGCTAGTATTTCTCTTTTTTCCTGATGGGTCAGAGGGCGGATTTGGGCTTAGGACCGTCCGTTCTGATTTACCAGCAAAGCCAAGTAGTTGATTTCACCTTCCCTATCTTCAGTGAAGTGCTTCACATTCTGGTCACCAGACCAGGACCACTGTCTGACCCCTGGGGCTTCTTGGATCCCTTCACGTGAGTTAACATCCTGGTGACCTGTGTGTGAGTGTGTTGACAATATCCTGGTGACCTTGTATGTGGTCAACATCCTTTTGATCAGTATTTGAGTTAACACTATTATTATTATTATAATCAAGGGGGAAGCGCTAAACCCGGAGGATTATACAGCGCCTGGGGGGGGATGTGGAAGGCATTCAGGCTTAATTCGGGGAACTGGAGCACAGATCCAATTCCCTAAATCAAGAGCCCCTCACCAACAATCAAGGAACCTTCCTTGAGGGAGTTAACACTAGGTGGTAACAGGTGTGTGGTGTTGCAGATGGCAGGTGTGGGTGTGTGTGGGGGTAAGCATGGTGATGGTGGCAGTAGTAGAGACAGGTATGGAGGGGATGCTTCCCAACCAGACACCATCCTTCACCACTCATCTCTGGACTGCTTACGAGATGCTTATCTCCAGCAGTGAGTACCTGTTGTCACGACTACGCATTCGTTCCTCCAGTATTCGCTGTGTGCTCAGGACAATTCGTAACTCTTGCTACTGCTGTTACTAGTTTAGTTTGATATTTTTACTACTATTACTACTACCCCATAGCTGCTGCTATCACTATTATGATTAATGAATTACTTCCATGCTGTAATAATTATGGCACACTAATCGTGTTGCCTCCCTCAGGTGCCAAGCCGGTGGCACAAAGTGTAGCACTGCGTGTCACTGTGTGTCTGTGGTTGATGGCAGTCCTAGTCCTCACCCGCAGTTACAGGTGAGGTCACACTAATTATCTTCGTATAGGTGAGCCCTTACTCATCCACACAAACGTATTGGTAACACTTTAGCAGGTTCACATGCACCCACATCAGCTACATGTCCACACACACATATATGTACATGTATACCTATTACATCTCTTCTCCCTCCCCCACACATAGTAGTTTAGGATTTTATTTCTCATTTGAGTTTCCTATATTGCTGTTCCCCACCATATCATTATACCTTTCCCTTTCTCTTTTCGGCTTCCTGTGACTTACCTCTCTCTCCAGTCTTCCTCTTCCTCCTTGCCTGGACTAGGCGAGTACATATAGGATTTATTATAATCATAACTAAGCGCTGAACCTATAAGGGTCATACAGCGCTGCAGGAGAGTACAAATAGGAAGCATGTCTATCTTGCATTCAGCAGACGGAGGATCAAGCCTCCACCATGTCTTGTGCTGAATGTCCAACATGGGTTTAGTGCTTAACATGAATTATTTACTATTCTTCCTCCTTGCCACCCTGTTGCAGTTTCTCTTCTTCCATTTTGTGCTTCCCCTTCATTCTTCTGTCGCGCCTCCTCCTGGGCGGTTGTGGATGGATGCTCAGCGGTGGTCTGACGTCACTGCTGGCGGTGAAGACTGTGCCACTGAAGTACGACTCCCTTAATGACGTCCTGGATGATCCACAAATCACTCTCCTAATGGAGGGCTCCACAGCACTCACAGGCTACCTTCAGGTGAGTTCTCAACTTACTCTAGCACTCTTCATACAAAAAAAAAAATCACACATCAGCTACTTCTCCCGTGAGTCAATGTTTATGATGCACGGGAATACACTCATGAAGATGCTGTCTCTATCCTGCCTACATTACAGAGTGCCGAAGGAGGTGTGTATGGAGAGCTGGGCAGAGCAGTGCGGGTGCGTGGAGTGCAAGTGAAGGCTAGCCAGCTGCAGGAGCTGGCCTACACTCTCCTGGCTGACGGTAGACACGCCATCTTCCTTGAAGAGTCCGGCTGCGACAAGGTCTACTCTGATGGCTTTACCAGAACAGGTGGTGTGACCCATAAGGGTTTAGCATGTGTTATTAATAATAATAATTGTAGACAAGTGAGGCTATTGAAGCTAATTACAAGGGAAGCAACAAACCCATAAGGGTCATACAGTGCCTGTTGAATGGGAGGCAGTCAGGTTCAATCTAGGGAAAGATTGGACAAGTTCCATTCCTTTGGTCTAACAAGTGCCCCTAAATAGTATTCAGTCACTACCCTTAGCCGTGTTGCCTTAAGATATTGGTTAGACAAATATGGGAGAACAGCTGAGTATGAGAAGGCCTTGCCTGAACATTTTTTAAAAGTGTTAAACACACTTAAAGCAAAAGCTATTAGGCTTACTGCACTATTCCTGCATTCTTACATTCTAAATATTTGTCTTCGTCATCAGGTCGTTGTGACTTCTACATGTCCCGTGGTGTGTTCTGGCCACTGTTGTACGCCTTGGTGGTTCCCCGAGCCAGCCCTCTCCGAGCTCTTATCAATGCAAGGTCACCACCACATATCTGATACATTAATAAAGCTAGAGCTTATAAAATACCTATAAATACATATAAATTGGAATTTCTATAAAATAATACCTAGACAACAAATGTTGCTGAAAACATATATGTAATCACATTTACATTACATTAACAATGAATTCAAAATTGCAGATCCCTTTAAATTACAGGACTTTGATTGACATATTATCCTGTTCCTATCTAACTCTCGCTTGCATTTTCCTGGCTTTTCTAGTATTTTCCCTATTTTATTACAAAGTCACAGTATCTTACTTCCACCAAGCTTATCATCCATGTCACAGGATTATTGCATTACGAGAATTTGGCGTGTACGAGGTGTGGGCACGCAGCCAGACACCCAACATGACTCATTGCCTAAGGATGCCCACTAAAATTAAGTTCCAAGAAGCGTATACCATATTTCATCTCTGGGTACGTCAGTTTATATAAGAATGCTTGTGTACATGAATGGTGTATGTGGTAGTTGTGTAAAATTGTGCATATGGGAGACTATCTTATCATTTAACTAATTTCTAGGCATGGTTCTCAATTTCCTAATGCTTCCTGTAAATTTACATAAGGTATTTTCTGTACATGCCATGTTTTGTTTATACGCATTTCCTAAGTATATTTTAGTTTTATAGTTCTAATGTTTAAGGTGCACAATATGTGCAGAAAACTATACAGATCTACTTATCGGTGACTCAACATTACTTGGTGGTGCAGTGTCGATATTTCCTCAGGTGGTCTTCATAGTACTAGCTGGAGGCATGGTCCTTGCCTTCCTGGTGTTCCTCTGTGAGCTTGCCCTCGCCCGCCTTACATATCTCACTTCCTGAAGGATTCCTTGACACATGGCCATGCTATGCCTTTGTCCACTGGTAACTAGTCTCCTTACATGTATGCAGCAAATAAAACACTGTGCAGCTTTTTTGTCTTGCAACCTGTTGAATAGTTACCTTGGGTTTTTAAGTGTATTTATTACTCCTATATGTGAAATGTATGTTTCAGGAAGTTTATTATTATTATAATCAAAGGTGCTAAACCTACTATAGAGTCATACAGCACTGCAGGAGAGGAATTGATGCAGGATCTAAGGATACATAAGGGTGGAGATTAGGAAGTTGAAATAAATACACCACCACATGATTGTCATCTATAAACCCTGATACCTTCCAACATTTTCTCAGGCTTTAAAATGAGCTGATGTAGGCAACAGCTTTTAGCTTGTAAATAAAATTAGGCACCCTTAACCTAACCTTGTAAAACCATGTGTAAAAACGAGAGTCATCCACAAATCAATCTCAATATCTTCCAGCAACACTAAGACACGAAGAGCCAGCCTCCAGCATATATACTAAATGCTTCTTCTCAGTGATGAACCACACTTGTGCACCTAAAAGAAAGGTTATGAAACACAATTTTGGAGCAACTGTTTTATTTGCTAAGGTGTTCATAAAGTTACTGAAAAAGTAACACTCAAAACCTGTGTTACTTCTCCGGCATAAATAAGGTTGTGAAGAACAATTTTTTTTTAAAACCCCAAAAAACTTGCACACACATTTAAATACCTCTCGGTGATCAATCAATATGAAGGAAAAAACATACATATTCTATATAGATGATGGAATGCTGCACTCAGCAGCTCACAATGTACTTAATAGCTGTTCCCCCATATTTTAAGGTATTAAGTGTTCACACGTTTAAAATTCTCCTAAGACACTAGTCATGCAGGATCATTACTGTAGTAACTTTTTTATAGGACTTTTATTTCTATGAACATTAAAAGCTGGTTTAAATTTCTTCCTGAATTAATGTATGTAGAAATGAACAATGAAAAGTGGAATTGATGGTGCACTTAATTCTAACAGCTTAGAGGTATATATCAAAGTGTCAGTTTAAATTATGGAACCTACAGTTATATGCATATACATACAACACTTCTTAACAGCTATTTCCTAATCTTCATAAATATTTCAGCCAATGGAATGAACATGAAGATATATACATTAAATAATCATTCACAGGTCATCAATCTTTGAAAGTTATTTAAAATTGACTGACTAGACATCTCTATGAGTTAAAATGGCAAGATATATGATATGCTTAACCTGCTTGTTATTCCTATTGCTGCAGTTAAATTGGTTGATTGGGCGGCATGCTAAGACAGTATATAGAAACAGCCAGACGAGCAACATATTAAGAAATCTGTCATCTTAATATCCCACACAAAACTGTGTTGCTCTTAAGGTTTTTAATTAATATTTTACAACTTCAGTCTATCTCATATAAACTCAAAAGCATTAAATATTCATATAGATACCAGCAGTAACTTAAATGGTGATAAAGTGCAGAGAAGGATCTATTTTCTACATGTGCAACAAAACTTCACAGGTGGTGCTGGGTGCTTAGTTTGTGTACTGTACCTTTGTCAAAAATCACTGTCAGTAGCCAGTCAGAAGTGTTGGTAAAATGAGAAAAGTATACAAAGCAGTACTCAAAATTTTACTGCACAAAATCTAAACAAATTTGACTTGTTCTGTGCTTCAACAGTAAGTGCAATGTTAGAGTATACTTTCTTTCACCAAATAGGAATTTTATTTTTATTCACTCGTGTGTGCATGCGTGTGTGTTAGTTTCCAGCTGTCAGAGGCATTTGTCGATAGACATTTGGCCTGTTGTGTGCACGTGCATGTCTCTTCTGTATGTATATGCGTTGTGTATGCAGATGTATATACAGTGGTACCTTGGGATACAAATTTATTTCATTCCAGAAGGCTGTTTGGGTGCCGATACCGAATGAATTTGTTCCCATAAGTAATAATGTAAATTAGATAAATCTGTTTCAGACCCCCAAAAATACACTTACAAAAGCACTTATATAAATACACTTACATAATTGTTCGAGTTTTTGGGCTGTTCATATCCTGAGGTACCACTGTATATGTGTATGTATGTATATATGTATGTACATATGTGTGTGTATGCAGTAAGATCACAGTAAACAGGTGATTTCAGAATATGTAAAACAACCACTGTGAAAGAATAGAGAAATTCCAAGCGCTTTCGTGACTACTCACATTATCAAGGAACAATGCATATGTATGTATATATGTATGTATATATGTGTGATGTGTATGTATATACATGTATTACCTGGAGTTTACCTGGAGAGAGTTCCGGGGGTCAACGCCCCCGCGGCCCGGTCTGTGACCAGGCCTCCTGGTGGATCAGAGCCTGATCAACCAGGCTGTTGCTGCTGGCTGCACGCAAACCAACGTACGAGCCACAGCCCGGCTGTGTGAGTGTATGTGCAGTGTGTGAGTGTGAGTGTGTGTGTGGGGTGTGTGTGTGTGTGTGTGTGAGTGTGTGTGTGTGTGTGTGTGTGTGTGTGTGTGTGTGTGTGTGGTGTGTGTGGTGTGTGTGTGGTGTGTGTGTGGTGTGTGTGTGGTGTGGTGTGGTGTGTGGTGTGTGTGTGTGTGTGGTGTGTGCTGGTGTGTGTGTGTGTGTGTGTGTGTGTGGTGGTGTGTGTGGTGTGTGTGTGGTGTGTGTGTGTGTGTGTGTGTGTGTTGTGTGTGGTGTGTGTGTGTGTGTGTGTGTGTGTGTGTGTGTGGTGTGTGTGTGTGTGGTGTGTGTGTGTGTGGTGTGTGTGTGTGTGGTGTGTGTGTGTGGTGTGTGTGTGTGTGGTGTGGTGTGTGTGTGGTTGTGTGTGTGTGTGTGGTTGTGTGTGTGTGGTGTGTGGTGTGTGTGGTGTGTGGTGTGGTGTGTGTGTGTGTGTGTGTGTGTGTGTGTGTGTGTGGTGTGTGTGTGGTGTGTGTTGTGTGGTGTGTGTGTGTGTGTGTGGTGTGTGTGTGTTGTGGTGTGTGTGGTGTGTGTGGTTGGTGTTGTGTGTGTGGTGGTTGTGTGTGTGGTGTGTGTGTGTGTGGGGTGTGTGTGTGGTGTGTGTGTGGTGTGTGTGTGTGTGTGGTGTGTGTGTTGTGTGTGGTGTGTGTGTGGTGTGGTGTGTGTGTGTGGTGTGTGTGTGGTGTGTGTGTGGTGTGTGGTGTGTGTGTGGTGTGTGGTGTGTGTGTGTGTGTGGTGTGTGTGGTGTGTGTGGTTGTTGTGTGTGTGGTGTGGTGTGTGTGTGTGGTGTGTGTGTGTGTGTGTGTGTGTGTGTGTGTGTGTGTGTGTGTGTGTGTGTGTGTGTGTGGTGTGTGTGTGTGTGTGTGTGTGTGTGTGTGTGTGTGTGTGTGTGTGTGTGTGTGTGTGTGTGTTATGTATGTATGTATGTGTGTAACATTTTGTGAAGGGATTCAGGGTAACATTTTGTGAAGGGATTCAGAAAAACCAGGTAGCTGGATTTGAGTCCTGGAGGTGTGAAGTACAGTGTACAATGCCTACACTTTAAAGGAAGAGTTTGAGATATTGGGTTTGGAGAGACATCTAAACTGTTGTATCTGGGTGCCTCTGCAAAGACAGTGATTATGTATGCATGATGGTGAAAGTTGTTGAATGATGATGAAAGTTTTTTCTTTGTTTTTGGGTCATTCTGCCTCGGTGGAAAACTGGCAACATGTTAAAAAAAAAAAAAAAAAAAAATCCATACTGTTAACAAGACCCATTTTATTAATTAACTCTTAACCATAAAACTATGACCCCATGGGATACTGGGCATAATTTACATCAATGAATTACTGAGGGCTTCATTTAAGCAAAAGTGACATACCCTCTCTAATAAAGCTATTCTGTATACAGTGGTGCCCTAAGTTTCGTACAGCTCCCAAATCGAACAATTATGCAAGTGTATTATTATGAGTGCTTTTGTAAGTGTATTTCTGGGGGTCTGAAATGGACTAATCTAATTTACATTATTCCTTAGGGGAACAAATTTGTTTGGTAACGGCACTGGAATAGCTTTCTGGAATGAATTATGTATGAAACTCGAGGTACCACTGTAGTGCAATTTAAAAAGTACATCCAAAATTGAACCTTCATAACATGAAGGTTTTTTCATGTGCTATTTACTTTTGGACATACTTTTGCACTTGAAAATTACACTATATAGAGGAGCTTTAAAAGAATTTACTAATCATGTGCAACAAATTTACTTCCAGTAAATACATCTGTTCAGTACTTCATACCCTCCCAGAGAGGTTGTTTAATAATGTGGACATAATGGCAAGAATACGGGAAGAGAACACATTGTATAATAGTATTCCGGACAGCAGTGACAGTGATACCAGTGTTGCTGCTTACATTATTTATTTATATTATTATTATCACGAGGAAATGATAAAACAGTAGGGGTCATACAGCGCTAATGATACTACACATTATGTTTTGAAGACATTAAATTATGTGAGTGTTAAACAAGCAGAAGTACATCTGGATCCTCCCAGAAGATGTAAGAGGGTATCATAACAAGATATGGTAATGAATATTAGTGTTATTGTAAAAAATTAAGTGAACAGTAGCAAAAGTGATTTCATTAATATGTACAGCACATGGTATGGTCTGACAGTAAATAACAGTGTGTAGTAGAACCTCTCCTAGGGTTGTACAAGTGTTTACAAATTACCTTTGCTTGAAAAAGTTCTCTACTGATAAAATGGATTACCTAACTGGTCAATACTTCATGGGAAGTGTTGATCACATGGCATATATGTATATGAACACCTTGCCAATGTAGCTAGGTTCACAACTGCATGATAGTAACATTGTGCTGGAATTTTACATTAAAAGTTTTTTTTTTTTTTTTTTTTTTTGTGCACACGCACGTGTTGCTTTATGTCTCAAGTTCCACACTTGAGTCTTGGAGGTGGGAAGTACAGTGCCTGCACTTTGAAGGAGAGGTGGGGATATTTGCCATTTGGGGGGAGGCATCTTAAGTGTGATATTGCCAAGCCTCTGGCAAGATAGTGATGAAGTGAATGATGATGATGAAAGTATTTCTTTTTTTTGGGTCACCCTACCTCAGTGGGAGACAGCCAGTGTGTTAAAAGAAATAATCAAATTTAGTGCTAAACCTGACACCACCACACTGAAATGTGTATAAACAAACAACTTATGTTTTATAAATATTATAAGGAGTCCTGGTATTGAACCGGGCCACGGAGGTGTTGAACCTCGGAACACCCTCTAGGTAGGTAAGATTATATTACAGTAGAGTACATATTTAGGTAGTATGGAAGATTTTGTCAACCAATGTCACTAAGTTAAGATTCAAAACCTTGCCCTTAAAAAAAAAGGTGAAGCTAGTCCCTATAAGTCACAAATTAAGGGTTAATTTCAAATTGATGACATCTGTAAAAACTGAAATTAACATCTAAAACAGAAAACATAAGTGGAGGTACAACATAAAAAAAAAAATATAAAATGGCTGGGTAAAACAGAAGTCAAGTTTCAATACAGTACAGTATACATATCCCTCTAACCATCAAAAAATCTATTGTTCTTGTTCAATTAACAGAATTATAAAATACTACTCACAGAAATTTACCATTACACTTTTTATTCCTTTCTTCACTACTAGTATCTGTATAGCCTTAACTCTTACAATGCTAAACTTCATGATGTACATCTGCTCTGTCACTTATAAAATATCTCGATATACTGTAAACTAAATGGTGTAGTCAATGATATACTGAATTAATAAACATTGTTTCCATCAAAAACCAATACCAAATAAATTAGTCTTTAAAGGGTAACAATTAATACCCACATTTAGTTAATAAGCCAGTTGGGCTGTTGGCTGAGAGAGCACTGTACTGTATAGGGTACTGGTGTCTAGTGATGATTCTTGGCTCCAGTTACTGCCACTGCAGTAATTATTCTTGTGTATGGTGGAGTACTGCTACTGCAAGCACCATTTCTCACTTTCTGCCATACCCTCTCTGTGATGGCATGTTTCACCTGTCTTAACCCTACTTGTGCCTTAATCTTCTTCTGCTGCTTTGCTTCTACTTTTTATGTACTTACTGAGACCAAACCACATTACTTTCATATTACTGATTCTTCTTCTTCAGTACAGTGACTGCTCTATTACATATAGTCAAACATGGAGGTGGTAATCTATGGCAAATGCTTCAAGGTTTGCTCCTTTAAACATCTTTTCACAACTGAAGGCATCTAAAATGTATGGAAATTTTACAATAGGTCCTCTTATGGAAGAGGCTTCTCAGGAACTAGCATTGGAAAATTCTTTTTTTAATTTAACACTGCTATCACATTTTTAATTTCTAGTGTGTAAATAATAAATTAAAAATGTTAACCTTGCAATGAAGTAACATACAAGGAATTTCAGGTTCTACAATGCATATCAAACACTAACACGAAACTGCTAATAACTGAAAAAGATGGATAAAGTGCATACTAATTGACAAAATAAAAACAGTCCACCTAACTGCAACCTGGATGACAAAACTTTAGAAGTACAAGTATTTAAAAAAAAATATATATATATATATGAAACATCCACTGATGACTAATAACCATTTCAGCCCCATTTGTTCTATTAATAAGAATTAATTTACAAGTGACAAAATATTCTAATAATTATTTAACTATGGTTATTAGTTGGTGAAATAAACCATAAAGCCAAAACCTTGATGAAGAACAATACAAAATGAAAAACCAAGAGCTTTACCACAACTAAACCTCTAACTGATTTGAAATGTTTCAAGATGTTGAAAAATAAATGCTTTATATAAAGTCGGTTCCACTGCTAGTAACGCTAAAACAACAAAACACTGAATATCATATGGAAAATTATAAGAGCATTATAATAATAAAAATCTGACTGGACTGGGCACAAACCAGAAATATGAAAATTAACCCCAAATATTATAACAGTATTTTATTGCACTTCCAAAATAAACTATATATGATTATTTATCAAAGTAACATTATCTACCAATCTCTTTAAAAGTACAGTATAATCCAGCTAATCATAATTCAGAGAATACCATTATTATACATTACTAACTGAAAAGACTATATATATCTAAGGTATGTATGTGGGAAGTACAGAGCCTGCACTAGAAAATTACTCAAGCAGTTAAATATTTGCTCTTGGTGTTGGGAAAGAATTACCATTGAAAGAGGAAAGGAATTAACCTCTTCTCACTGAATATTTTCCACTTTAGATACTGTATCTACAAACTATAGCCACATGGTGGTTTGTACATGTTTTAATTTCACATTACCATGCAAGATGCTACTTTCCTCTTTCAAGACTGAAATGTTGATGCAATTTTTCACTTTCATATGGCCTCAAGTAGAAGGCTGGCAAATAAAATTTATTGTCTGATAAAAGAGATGTGACCTAGGTAGTAGGTTGGTAGACAGCAACTGCCCAGGGAGGTATTACCATCCTGCCAAATGAGTGTAAAACGAAAGCCTGTAACTGTTTTACATTATGGTAGGATTGCTGGTGTCTGTCTCAAACATGCAAGATTGTTCAGGTAGGTCTTGCTTCTTCTACTTACATTAAGGTCACATTACACATGCATGTACAAGCATATACTGTATATGTGTATACAGACCCTTCTGGGTTTTCTAGTTTTCTTACTAGTTCTTGTTCTTGTTTATTTCCACTTGCCTCCATGGGGAAGGGGAACAGAATTCTTCCTCCACAAGCCATGTGTGTCGTGAGAGCCGACGACAATGCCGGGAGCAAGGGGCTAGTAACCCCTTCTCCTGTATACATTACTAAAATTAAAGAGAGAAACTTTTGTTTTTCTTTTTGGGCCACCCTACTTCGGTGGGATTTGGCCAGTTTGTTGAAAGAAGAAGAAAAGAGCTGTGAAGATAGTTATATTTAATGACCTTAAAAAGGATGAGCCAGTTTTCTCTCAATTTAAAAAATGGGGAATATAATAAACCAATCAAGAAAAGATAATTAACTAACAAAAAATTTGGTTTAATACACGAACACAAAATGTACTGAATTTACTCTCAGTTTTATGTTATCAGATTTAGACCTTTGAAGAAATATCAACAGCTGATGTAACAAATGAAAGGATAATATACTACAAGATTTTTTAACCATGATGATTCACTATTCTTCAACCTGAATATTACATACTCAAACACATGCATAAACACAGGATGAAGAATCATATGCACATGAACACAAGTATGCACACACACAAAAATATTAAGGTGGAAGAATAATGTTTCATTATTGTTAAAATGACATACACACACACACATCTAAAACTGTGATGCATTAACACCAGACTCTTATGCACTAAAACACAATTTTACCCTGCTGTTGCAATATTGCCGTGTTTAATACTCCAAACCATGTGACGAACAGAAATTTAGGAAACATTCTGTTTACATTGATTACATGCACACCTCACTACACAAACTGTCACTGCATTTTCTAATATTTCTTACTGCAACTAAGAGAACCCTGATTAAACATTTAAATTTCGTTTTTTACTACTCCTAAAATGTAAATTTATTTGGTGAATTATATAATTACTTCAAATGAAAGAAAAATCAGACTAACTCTTAAACCAGTAGACACATCTTTAAATAGGCAAGTATCACAGCTCTATTTCCCTGTGATCTGCCACTGAAAGTCTTCAAACAAATGTTTAGATTAGATGTGACTTAGTTCCTCTTAGGAAAAAATTCAACCTAAAGTGCTCTATGGGAAGCACAGATTCAGTATCACATCTGGCACTATGACACATGATAAATAATTTTTAAAGTTGAATACAAGCAATCTAATGCAAGATGTAACTGCCCATTCAACCTCAAGCACTCAACACATTTCTTCACAGAAAAAAGGTATTTATATCATTACATGATTGTGACTGCAGCAATGATAAGGGAAGTAACAATGAATTCAGCTAAAAGATAGAACGTACTAATTCTAATGATAGTGACTCAAGTAGCCCCTTATAACTCAGGCCTGGTAAATACTCCCCTGGGTCTATTCCTGCTACAAAAAAGAAACATGCAAAGCAAAACAAAAAAAGATGTTATATGTTTAGTTACATATGATGTGTGATGTGGCACTTTTCATCAAACCAGGTTTCATGGATTGCCACACCCTGAAACACATTATACATGTTAAAAAACTCTTGTAAATAGTATGCATAAAATTCAAGAAAACCAATAAAACGGCCAAATTTTATGAAATAAGACTGAATAAACAAGTTAATGCAATGGGGAAGCTTAAAAAACATAAGTCAATTTAACGATTATAAAAACTATTTTAAATATTTAACGAGATATAATTTACACACAGCATATTTTCACATCTGGTCAGTTCTCATTCCATGCATTATCAGTGAAATGAACAATTTTCAGAACATCAGTCAAACTATAAAATCTACCTGCTTTTCTTTTCTGTTATGGTTTCTATCACAAACGATGTCAATTACTTCAGTTATTTTCCTAAAAGATTGGTACCACCAACTAAAATAAGATTTAAATATCAAAATTCTGCAAAGACCCTCAAGTATCAATGAACTAATGTAGAAACAATATTTATGATTCACTTAAAATTCAGTTACAAAATAAGTGCCAAGACACAAGCAAGGCTTGAAAATTGTCCAGGACAGACACACATTGTCTATCTTCTTGTGCTAAGTATTAAGAAATGTTAAAAAAATATATATCAATTTCCAGAACTAACAACACACCCATTGGATAGACTCCAGCCAAGATTCAACCCATTAAAGATAGTACACTAATAACCTGCACATAGGAGAAAGAAGCATATGATGACATCATATGCTTCTCTCTCCTATGTGCGGGTTATTTGTGTATTATTCCAGTCACAGAATTGTGCCTTTTTGTTCAGTTACAGATAGCTCTGGAAATGGTGGAAGGTCAAGTGTTTACTTTAGGTTTTCAATATTTATCACACCTGCATAAAGTAAGTTTAATGAAACTTCCTGAGCAAATATTCACACCCATATTTTCCAATCAGTCTAACAAAAAATTTATAAAAGAGCAGACAATTACGAGGACAGGCCACGGCAACAAAAAAGTTGAATTAAGTATTTTGACAATCGTGAACATAAAAGTCTATGAAGTTACTGGAGTCGATAATAGATTAAATGGAATTTGTTGAAAAAAATAAGATGTGAATAAAATTAGAGGTAAAAATGAAAATTTGAGAAGGAATCTGAAATTTATATATCATGAAAATATTGCAAACCTTACAGTATTCCCATTTACATAAAGTTTCTGCCCAAAGCATAACAGGCTGTCCTCTCGTCATCAGCATACTTGCTCCAGTGAAGATGACTTGACACACAAATATGCCTTTATCAGAATTTACATACCAAATATCAGGTTATATCTACAATACTAAGCATACAAAATATTCAGAATAGGTGGTACACAATACTTTTAACACTTTGATTAGTTTCAGTAGAACAAGAAGAAGCGGTGTCGTGAGTTGTGAGGAACCTGGTGCCACTCACGTTTGGCATGGACATACTGTAAGATTGCTCGCATACAGATTAGCATTCCTGCAAAAAATAGAAGAATGAGCATTAGTGTGGATCCTTAATAAAAACTTATTTTATTGTACTGCATTATTCACAATACACTGCCACTAGGTAATTTGCTACGTTCTACACTGCCATATTCTTTGATTTTTAGTGCCCTTACACGAGTGTCTTTCCTCTTTTTTCTGTCTCCTCAACTCTTCCATTTTCATATGCTTACTGAGGCAATCCTCATTTCTTCAACTTTTCCGAGAACAATGAGGTGGCAACTAAATCATGTATGTCTACAATGAAGAGTGTTACAGTACTGTAAAAAAAAAAAAAATCTGCAGATCAATGATCACGCATGTTAAAACCATCTTTGAGTATGTGGCACTAGCATGGAACCTGCACCTGATAAAGCATATAAAGAAACTAGGAAAGATCCAAAGGACTGCAATAGAGTGGTGCCAGAACAAGGAGGGACTTATGTAGCTCTAAGAACAAAGGGTACACCATCAAGATGTGTATGAAATCAGGATAAATGGACCTAGTCTGGCATCCCACACCCCATTTAGCTTGTGCTAGAGTACCATAACAACAGTTTAATGACCAGCGAGGAACAAACAAGGCTGTTTTGGGCAAAAATAAGGAATAAAATTGCACCTGTCCTGTAATGTATTAGCTTAAGACTAGAGGTGTAATAACCTCAAGTGGATCCCCAAGTGTGTATTAGCTAAGACTAGAGGTGTTATAACCTCAAGTGGATCCCCAAGGGTCTCACAGATGAAACCATACTAAATTCAATAACTAGAGCACAATTTTTGACACATTAAAAATCACATTACATACATTACATACATTAATAAATTAAACTGTATTTATGGTAACTGACTACTGCATTTGTTAAAGTTCTTGCCTAAAGAACAACTAGCTCACTGGGAAAAGCATTTCTATAATGTAAAATATTAAGACAACTTTCTCTTGTGCATGTAACCAGATACACAAACATTTACCTTACCTGACTTCACCTCAAACCATTTTATAAAAAATTATCCTTGTGGTTGGGTTACCTGAAAATTTTATTATAGTATATAGAATATTCTTTAAAAATCTTCATCTAGGTCCACAAAGCTGACTGCACACATTACTGCCTTGTATACTTACCCAGAGCCATTATAAGCCATAGAAGCCAAGTGTTGGAATCAGCCACCAAGTCAGTCGAGTGTCGAACAATGACTGCCCACTTGGCTAAGGAGAGACCAAAGCCTGCTAAAGCACCTGTGCGACCAGCAACTGTGTGACAGAAGCACAGCAGCAGAACAAATCCTACCCAATTGAAGACAAAAGCAGCTGAAAATAAAAATTATAATTAGGTAAAATCTATATGAATAATAGTATAGACTTAAGAAATAAAAAAAAGAAAGGAAAAAACAGAAGAAATACAGGAAATGTAAACATATTGAAAAAGATTATGCTGACATAATGGGAAGTGACACAGTTACTTTTTGCTGATGATACTGTGCTTATGGGAGATTCTAAAGAAAAATTGCAAAGGTTAGTGGACGAATTTGGCAGCGTGTGTAAAGGTAGAAAGCTGAGAGTGAACATAGAAAAGAGTAAGGTGATGAGAGCATCAAATGATTTAGATAAAGAAAAATTGGATATCAAATTGGGGAGGAGGAGTATGGAAGAAGTGAATGTTTTCAGATATGTATTTGGGAGTTGACGTGTCAGCCGATGGATTTATGAAGGATGAGGTTAATCGTAGAATTGATGAAGGAAAAAAGGCGAGTGGTGCATTGAGGTATATGTGGAGGCAAAAAATGTTATCTATGGAGGCAAAGAAGGGAATGTATGAAAGTATAGCAGTACCAACACTCTTATATGGGTGTGAAGCTTGGGTTGTAAATGCTGCAGCGAGGAGGTGGTTGGAGGCAGTGGAGATGTCCTGTCTAAGGGCAATGTGTGGTGTAAATATTATGCAGAAAATTCGGAGTGTGGAAATTAGAAGGTGTGGAGTTAATAAAAGTATTAGTCAGAGGGCTGAAGAGGGTTTGTTGAGGTGGTTTGATCATTTAGAGAGAATGGATCAAAGTAGAATGACATGGAGAGCGTATAAATCTGTAGGGGAAGGAAGGCGGGGTAGGGATCGTCCTCGAAAAGGTTGGAGGGAGGGGGTAAAGGAGGTGTTGTGGGCGAGGGGTTTGGACTTCCAGCAAGCGTGCGCGAGCGTGTTAGATAGGAGTGAATGGAGACAAATGGTATTTGGGACCTGACTATCTGTTGGAGTGCGAGCAGGGTAATATTTAGTGAAGGGACTCAGGGAAACCAGCTATTTTATATAACCGGACTTGAATCCTGGAAATGGGAAGTAAAATGCCTGCACTCTAAAGGAGGGGCTTGGGATACTGGCAGTTTGGAGGGATATAGTGTGTATTTTTATACGTATATACTTCTAAACTGTTGTATTCTGGGCACCTCTGCAAAAACAGTGATTATGTGTGAGTGAGGTGAAAGTGTTGAATGATGATTAAAGTATTTTCTTTTTGGGGATTTTCTTTCTTTTTGGGTCACCCTGCCTCGGTGGGAGATGGCCGACTTGTTGAGAGAGAGAGAGAGAGAGAGAGAGAAAAAAAATACATTTTAAGACAGTTTCGTGGTGCAATGAAAATATTAAAAAAAAAAAAAATTGTTAACAAAACATGACAAGAAAATTAAATTGAAAATACTAACTTGAAGTTGGCCCTAAAAATGGACCATTTACCAAGCACAAGTGATGGGGTACAAGTTGAAACATGGATATAGAGAACCAGCTGGGCCCAACCACAATCATGCAATTTCAGTTGAAAAGCTGATTTCAACAGTCATGTATTGGTTTTCAAAATAACATTCTTAGAAGCATGAAGGACTTCTTGAATGCTACAGTACTGTACCCTTGAGTTTCAGAAAAATATTACAAATACATTAAGATATTAAGCTAATCTTAATTCCCTCTCATCACTTTTCCTTTTGAAGATTGTTGTATTAAGAGATATGTAAATATATATAGTGCCTACTAATGGTTCTGGGAATCACCTAAAATTTTGTTTACAGTCATCACTGGAAAGGGAATATCATAGGAATAAGAACTATTAACAAAGTGTATAGTGAGTATTAGTAGAAGTTAGGATTTGCCAGCCATCATAAATTTTACAAGAAAAAGAAACTACTAGCAATCCTGTCCGTGCTTAATATCAATCTCATGGCAAGGACTGGGTAGGAGCCCTCCATCATAGCTATGCCTGCCACAGAAGGTAACCAAATGCCAAAGCAAAGGGCTGGTTACCCCTTAGGAATCTGATGAGCAAAAACCAAAGAATGATATGATCTTGTATTGTCTGAATGTGTAAATATAATATGGATATAAAGGCAATGCTTGTAGCCTCTTATAAATGAGATGAAAAAATGCCTTAACACTGAGTGCAATAAATTTTGAAAGGTGATTACAGTGGAATGATAATGAGTTAAAGGGTATATGCAAGAGAATAAGGGCTAAGAATATGTGGAAAGAAACCCAACTATGAATAACAGTTCTAAAAGTGTGCTGGTGAGAATTAAAATAGGATGCAAGAGTTAAGTTAGTGTTAAGAGGTTTGTTGTATTTACTTGAAAAGGAAAACATTTGTGAAATATAGCTATACCAGTACTGTACCTGCAAAGGCCACAAAGAACATAAAGTCTGTGCCAAGTAGTTGCTCCTCAGCTATTTCAGCAGTTTCTGGGTCGAGACCTCCAAGAGAAGAAACACGAAGAACTCGCATCCCACTACTACTTGTTCCAGTCATGTTGGCTGCACCAAGTGGACCATTTCCCTTAAATTAAAAAATAAATGATACATATGAAAGTAATAAACCTAGTGAATTATTCACAAATTATGCTGACCAGCAGATCTAACTAGTTCATAAAAAATTCTTTGTATGGCCAACCATTAAATGCAAAACTACTCATAGGACAAAAAAATATAGTCCTGTATTTTTGAAATGTACCGTATGGTTTGTGATAAGATATATCTAGGCTTTGACTGGGTGCTCTCAGCCAATTTGTAAAAGTTTCTGCTGATGTTTTACTTCAAAATTTGGTTTCCTCAACCTAGGAATCTTTTAAACTAGTATTTCCATCATATGTTTATGGGATACCACAAAATGTTTATTACTCAACTCCCTTCACCCCAAGATGTAGAAATGTCTTCTCTTTCCTAGAGAATACAAGTATCCTCTAAGAGAGTATCATGTATCCACCTTGTTCACACTGTTTCCTCTTTTGAGTTACCCAGCCTTTGGGGAAATGGCTGCTAAGCTAAACAAATATTAACCCTTAAACTGTCCAAACGTAGATCTACGTTTTTTCAACGTTTGAAAGTATGTATGCAAAAAAAGTAATCTTTTTTTTTTTTTTTTTACATTTGAAAACTTGCAAAAAAAACTCTGATCTACTTTTTTTTTTGTTTTATTTGAAAATATGTAAAAAAAACGTAATCTACTTTTGGAGCACTACGCATGTGAACGTAGATCTATTTGGACAGTTTAAGGGTTAAACCAATGCAAAGAGAATTCTCAAGATATCAGAAACACTGCTGGAACAAGTATAGAAGCCTTTAAGAGGAAACTGGACAAGTATCTTCACCAGGAGCCAGATCAACCAGGCTGTGATGGATATGTGGGGCAGCAGGCTTCCAGCAGCAACAGCCTGGCTGACTAGGCAAGCACCAGATACAAGCCTGGCCCATGGCCGGGCTCCGAGAGTAGTGAAACTCTTGAAACTTCAAAGGTAAAGGTATAAGGTATCATCCTTAACAATGCAGTGAAAAGTTAGACAAGACAACCAAGCTTAAACATAATACTGTATTACAAAATAAATTGTTAATTTTAAAGTACATGACTCACATGGCAAAGAGGCAAAGTAAAATCTTCAGCTGCTTCCAAAGCCTTAAGCCTTTGTACTTCTTCATAACTTGGTGGCTGCACTTCAGAGGACTCCTCCGTTGGTAGTTCTGCAATGGAACTGGTGAATCCATCTCTGGTTTCTGATTCTTCATATGGTGGAGGAGCATGCATATCTGGCTTTGGGGGAGGAATGTCATCCATGGTTGTACGAGCTGAACCTTCATTGTCATCTGTAACCTTTAAATATAAACATTAAGAGATTTAAATCTCCATCAATAACAGAATACAGAGTAATGGGCCATTATGAGGATATCCTCAACAATACTAGTAACCCTGTCTCATAATGACATTCTTCCTCTTATTACTGTTCTCAAATTTGCATTCATACATTAATAAGTCCTTCAGTCAGTCTAATGACTCACTCAATAACCCCTAAACTATGGCATATCCACAAATAAAAATTCTGAATCAAATAAAACTAAAATTAGTGGACTCTGGTAAAAACTAAAGTTTTTAAGGCATGTTGAAGTTGGAAAAAAATCACTCATTGGCAACAATATTTACATTTCACAATTTATTGAAGCCACTAATGTGTGATTTTTTCAATTTTTTAATGGGTTTTTAATGTTTCACACTAGGTACACTAATTTTTTTTATGATATTGGATGTGTTTAAATATATTTTAGCTCTTCGAACATTAGAAAATGCTTAGCCTGTCATTGCTACACTTGAAATATACAGTACATACACAGCATATATTTTTTTTTTCAGCAAACCGGCTGTATCCTACCGAGGCAGGGTGGCCCAAAAAGAAAAACAAAAGTTTCTCTTTAAAAATTTAGTAATTTATACAGGAGAACGGGTTACTAGCCCCTTGCTCCCGGCATTTTAGTAGCCTCTTACAACACGCATGGCTTACGGAGGAAGAATTCTGCTCCACTTCCCCATAGAGATATGAGGAAATAAACAAGAACAAGAACTAGAAAGAAAATAGAAGAAAACCAAGAGGGGTGCATATATATATGCTTGTACATGTATGTGTAGTGTGACCTAAGTGTAAGTAGAAGCAGCAAGACATACCTGAAATCTTGCATGTTTATGAGACAGGAAAAAGACACCAGCAATCCTACCATCATGTAAAACAATTACAGGTTTCTGTTTTACACTCACTTGGCAGGACGGTAGTACCTCCCTGGGCAGCTGCTGTCTACCAACCTACTACCTACATACAGCATATATGTATATATGGTATAACTGTTTCTCCATTTTTTACTATTTTGGTCTTCTAATGCTATGTAGAAGGAATACTTATAATATTACAATTGTTTCAGCCTTAGATTTTTTCAAATGTATGAATAGATTATAGAAGATCCAGAGAGCTGTGACAAGGCCAAAATTATTGGCAGGTGGCAGATTTGAAAGCACAAAAAATTGTGTACTACTATGTTGGACACAGTTATTGCTGTGTATTAGTAAAGTGGAGACAGTTTAAAGGTTAAGCACACACAAAAAAAATTATTTCCAACTCTGTACCTTATTGGGAATCATCAAAAGATTTTAAAAGAAATAAAAAGTTGACCCATCCATTTTTTGATACAGTAATATTTGAGAATAATTTCATTGATATATTACTCTATCATAATAACACATTAGGGTATGTGTGCTAGTTCTTGCTATATTTAAACGACATTCCCATTTCATCAAGCTTTCTTTAAAAGTAGCGAACCTACATTTTTCTAACAGATTTTTATCATTCTATTGCACTTGTTAGTAACACTAGCCTGTAATTTAAATGATGTTATCTACCACTGTGATAAATGTGCGTTATCACAATATAAAACAGCAACTGTTGCATGCTACAACTTACAGAGTACGGTGGCGGAGCAGCACTGGCTGCTGCTGCCTCATCCAGCCTTTGACTGGCCATGGAGTCTGACATGCTCTCACTGTTCTCCTCGTCTGATAATGGAACCTGAAACATTACAGTATTGTAGTTGAATTCATTGCAAAAGCAATCTGCATATTAAATACTATTTTTTATGCAACTCATCTATTAATATAAAAAAGTGCAATATTCATCATTGTTTCTTATGAATAAAAAACAATTTTTAGTACACTATATATGAGGTAGAACATATGGGTTATTTTCCTTTACAACAACTGCAGATATGCAATTCAACTCAATACTTTGATTTCAATTTAAATCTGGGTTCATAGCCACCTCCACAACACACATTTTTACATTTTATACACATTACATTCACATGAAAGCGCAAAACTCATAGACGTCAAGGAGAGCCTGGCTAAAGGGAGGCAATCAGGACTGATCTATGGAAGGAGGTAGTTTAAATGTCCAAAATGCATCACATACTAGTGGCTTTCCTTTCTGTTTAACAATATTTTATTACATGTAAATTGCATACTGTATAGGGATCAAATTAAGTTGTATTGTATGAAGAATCCTTCACCAGCCTCAAGGTAAGTAAGTAAAAGGTAAGTAAGTAAAAGGTAAGTAAGTAAAAGGTAAGTAAGTAAGTAAAAAGTAAGTAAGTAAAAAGTAAGTAAAAGGTAAGCGAGTAAAAAGTAAGTAAAAGGTAAGTGAGTAAAAGGTAAGTAAAAGGTAAGTAAGTAAAAGAGAAGTAAGTAAAAGGAAAGTAAGCAAGTAAGTTTATTCAGGTATACACAAATAGTTACATAGATTATTATACATAGCAGCATATGTGTAGAGACCTGGGATAATCCAAAAAAGTCAACGTGACTTAGGTACAGGTACAGGTCCCCATAAGTAAAACCATCATAGTTTACCACATGTGTAAATTACCTAGGACCCCAGCTAAATAAGTCACTGACTTTTTTGGGGTTATCCTAGGTAATCTACACACACATGCTGGTATTTATAATATCTTTATTTCTATAAGTACATAATTTATGTATTTACGTGTACCTGTATCTGAATAAACTTAATAACCCAAAAAGGTCAACTAAGTGACCTATTTCCATTGGGGTCCTTGAAGAGCACACACAAAAGCACATTAGGTACATTTAAGCAAGATAATTACAGTTACCAAGGAACTCACAGGAGATGTCAAAGTAAACACAAAACTGTTACATAAGAATATAAGAAGAGTTCCATTTGACCTTCTCAACTCGGAACATTTCCTGGCTGGAACTAGTTCCTTCTCACACCTGTAATACTGACTGTGTTTTAGCATAACTGGCGGCTCCTACCACCTATGTAGAGTGACACACTGGTGCTGTGATACTCACTGGTTGGTAACGTACGCTGGCTGGCATGATATATCCACCAGGAGGTGGGTAAAGTCAATATAAGTAAGAAGGAGCAGCGGAACACCGTGTTGTTATTCACTAGTGTTGTCGATTTCTGCACTCTCAGCTTCACAATTATTTTGGCATATATATTTTACTATATTATCAAATTCTACTAGATAATGCATAAATTTGTTTTTCTGTTATTTTACCTATGCTTAATTAAATATCAGCGAATAGTAAAAGACGTTTGATTAGAATTATCTGTTTACAAAAATATTTACCAACGAGTTTCTGCTCGTATGTGTTTCAAATTGGCTTCTGCAACAATTATTTTATTATTTTTATGACAAGTATTTTCTTAAATAATACTAACAAAAATTTAATACAGGTCCCTTATTATAATCAATATAAAAAAGAACATAAATACTTGCAATAATAGCAAAAATTAACTCTCTGGGAACCTTCTTGAAACCATTTCGGATACCGTTCAGTTGGAATTTTTATATATATTTTGTATTTTAAATAATTAATTACATCAGGGATTGCTATATTAACATGCATTGATAATAAAACACTAAATTGCTATAGCAAAACCGATGTAATTACAGACACAATTGTGACGTCACGTAATAGTGACAGAGTAGTTGGTCACCACTTTCTATTAACTTCCTTAATACGCTGTATTATTTTATTTTATTGCTTATGGAATAAATCTCCCTTATTACACTATGCCAGTGAAGGCTTACAATAAAGTTCTATAATGCTATAACGTTACAATTCTATACACAATACGTGGTTGCGGAGTCACGCCTAGCAACAATATTAATTCATTGTATTTTATTGATTTATGATGTTTATGTACGTAATTTTGGATTTGTGTTGAATGTATTTGTTGTTATTTTCTGTGTCCACAACACTAACTTCTTTATTTCAACAGTTTACCCCATTCTAGGATAGGAAAGTTTGTATAGTTAAGCTTTCTTCTTTATTTTTTATATTCTACATATTCTCATTCTGCATCTTCTGTATATTCTTCTTTTGCTCTTCTTCATCTGCTTATTCTTGTTCTTGCCCTTATTGTTCTTGTTTTTATTGTTCTTGTTCTTATTGTTCTTGTTCTTATTGTTCTTGTTCTTATTGTTCTTATTCTTATTGTTCTTGTTCTTATTATTATTTAGTAGTAGTAGTAGTAGTAGTAGTAGTAGTAGTAGTAATAGTGGTAGTTGTACTTCCACTAGTGACTCTGCCCACATGTGACTACGCCTACTACTGCTGCATCCATCTACTTTTTCCACTGGTTCCTCTATAAAAATTCTCCATTCTCATGTCCCTGTAATAAAGTGGTGGGCGAAACGTCTCTTATTAAAGATACCCAGGTATTGCACATGTCTCGCTCATGAACTCCTCCAGTCTTGACAAATCTCTGGACAGTTTTATCATCCTACCCAAGAGTAAGGTGGTTACACTTGGAGCAAAAACATAATATACCAACGAGTTGGTAAATAGGACACATAGGCAACACTTGGGTATCTTGAGAGACGTTTCGCCCACCAGGAAGGAAGAACTGGTTAGAGAAATAGAGGTATCGAAATCCCATTGAATGAATCATACAAATTCCAGGAGAGAAAGAGGAAGCTAAAAGCAGTTAATGAAATTGAAAGGAATAAAAAATAGTTCTTCTCATACGCAAAGCCCAAGGAAAAAATTCAATATCCAGGTTCTTGCTGAGTCAAGATGGAACTTGCTCTGTCAACAACAAAGAAATGAGTGAAATTACTGAAGTTTAAATATGACTGCGTTCAGCGAGCCGTTAATCAGACTAAAAGCTCAAAATCTGAATAAGCGATGAAGCAGAACTTTTCCTACTCCAGGTATACCATGCTTTGATCCGTGAAAAAGAATTATTTCTCCTATACCATGTGCTGCCACTTTCTTTAACAGCCATCTCCCATCGTGGGAGGTATTCTTGCGCCAAAGAATTGGAGCTCTCCTTCCTGTCTTTGGATCGCCTCTGATTGCTTGCTATTCCCCTAGGTGCTGTATGACAGCTATAGATTTAGCGTCTCCCCGTAGAAAAAAATTAAGTTGAGAGTGCAAGTTTCCTTACATCTGCACTCCACGACACTTCAGAGTGTAGGTTTCCTCAAGTCTGCACTCCACGACACCTCAGTGTAGGTTTCCTCAAGTCTGCACTGTCTAGTTGTACTCATTTACTTGTGCTAGTTAAAAAAAAAAAAAGGCCATTGCTAGGTTATAATGTCTATGGAATGCCGAGACACGATGACTATGTCTTCCTCATATAGCCAAGTCATGTACACTGCTAGGTGCTTTCCACCCAGCAGTACTTAGCAATAAATCTACTGTTGTGGGTGGCATTCAAGGGAAAGACCAAAGGATCCCAATGGGATAACCACACTGCGTGACTTTCTGGGTTAATCTGGGTAAATAATCAAAATAAATTGACCTTTTTGGTGGTCGTCGTGGTGGTGATACTGTTAGTGGTAAGTCCTTATTTAGATATCATATATAATTATATGTACTTCTGAATGTAGGCTATCCCGACGGAGTCAATGTAACTCATTTCCATTAGGTGTGCTTGTGGGTGGTGATGCTGGTGGAGGTGGTGTTCCACCAGGGGTTGGTCCTGTTGCTGATGCTGGTAGTGATCTTGCTGGTGGTAGTCAGTGTTTCCTGGTGGCGATCCTGCTGATAGTGCTGTTGTTGGTGATGGTTCTGCCATTGGTGGTGGTAGGTTTTCCCTACTTCAACATTTATGTTTCCCCTTCATATCCATTTTCTATGAGGAATCTTGACAATTGAAAGTTGGCAACTAATTATTTTATAAATATATTTTACTACAACTACAGCTGTTAAACTAATGCTTACATATTCAGTATGAAATAATATATTCGAGTACATATAATTTTCAAAGCTAGCATGTCTCCACAATTGACTGTTTCTAAAAAAATCAAGAATACCTACATAATGCAAATATGTATTATAGCCGACGTTATGGATTAATTAGAAAAAGAATTATGGTGAAGACTATCTAAGATACTCATTGGCTATGTAGTCTGATAGTACTAGGTGGTTGAGAAGGAGTGTATAGTGGGAGAAAATTAGAATGGAGATGGGATGGTGGGGAATGATGGTGTGAGAGCAGTGTACTGGGGTGTCAGTGGGAGTGGGTGTTAAGCTCAGTGTTCCTCCAGCAGTAGTGAAGGAAGGTGATGTGTGTGCTGTGCTCCCTCTTGTTACGATGTTGTGGATAGTGTCGCAATGACACCAAAATGATGTCATCTAACCAACGAGAGAGCCAGAGGCTCTTCGAATACTTCGCCATCATTGGATTAAGCCCCGATGGAGGCCTCGAACCCGACCGTTTGCAAGGTATGCCATTGATTTTATCCTGGGAAGCATTAGCTGAGAATCCAGGCAGGCGGACCTTTGTGTGTAGCCCTGTCCTCAGCTCTGTTATGTCCTCTCAGCTCAGCCGTGTCTCCTCAGCTCAGCCGTGTCTCCTCAGCTCAGCGCTCGGAGGCTGTGAGGACACCCGCCATGCAGTGATATTATTTTTTTTTACACTTATCTCAGGGTATTATCCCAGCCATGTTACGGGATATCCTGGTTGTAAATAATAAATATATGTACTATTGTCCATTGCTTGTCTCTCTATATACATCAAGGGGGAGACGGTGCTGGTAAGGGTTTTTGATCCAAGGAGTTAGAGCTTTCCTCCGATTCCTTGGAACAAACGAGAGTACTGCCCATTCCTCACACACTGACTCCTACGTGCATGCAATAACAATTATCAGTAATGTAATTCATGACAGTATTTCAAGGTAATAATTATCCTGAATTACCTTACATATGTATGTTAAATAACAAGGACTCCAGTGGAAATAAGTCGCATTGATTCAATTTACATCATGTATGTAAATTTACATCATGTATGTAAATTTACATGTATGTAAATTTACATCATGTATGAAAAACATAACTCTTGTGTGCCCTTTCGGTTATCTTTGATTAAATCTACATAATATAATTTTTGTGTTTGTGTACCCTCAATACCATTGTCAAAAAAAAAAAATGTACCTTGTGTAAGACCTAAGTAGATGTTACTTAACCAGTGTGCCCTTAAGATTAGTGTAAAAATTAAAATTTGTTTGTAAAACCTAAACCGAAATTAATTTAGTTTGTAATAGTCTGGTGATGTTAGCTGCCATTTCCCTCACCAGATGCAATGATATTTTATGATTACACTCCTATACAGTGGGATTTTTTTTTTTTGTATATGTGATTGAAACGTACAACTGATTCAGGATTCACTTTTCAATGTACTTTTTTCTCAATTCCACTTTCCAAACATTCTGTATCGGGGAACTATAAAAGCTGATTATATTTTATTTTGTATATAAGACAGTGTATTACTTAATATTTATGTTAGGCGGGTATACCAGTCCCTGGAATACCCGTAACAAAGCGTTAATTACTAGAATTTTAATGTTAATGGCATCTTATTGTATGTATTCTGTGAGGTTTATTTTTCAGAGTATATTAGCTGAGTGTACATCCGTTAAGAAAAGCATTGTATATGGGCTGTGTGTGTGTGTGTGTGTGTGTGTGTGTGTGTGTGTGTGTGTGTGTGTGTGTGTGTGTGTGTGTGTGTGTGTGTGTGTGTGTGTGTCTCCCCTCCCCATTCACTCTCCCCCACTCTTGTCTTCTTTCCCCTCCCTCTCTTCCACTTGATCCTCCACCCATCGCTCCTCATTCTCTCTCTCGCGGCTTCGTGAGCCCCATCATATATTCAATTGTCTCGATTATACCTATACCACTGTGAGGCTGTAGAAATACTTTGTCACCCCCCTGACTCGCATGTATTGTCAACTTTCATCTGTGTCCTTGTGTACTTACTTTCCGCCTCTTGAAAAGCGTGTCCCTCCCTACATCCGTGAATGAGAATTACCAACAAATCTCTGGCGGTCTTCAAGAGGGAACTGGGCAATTTTCTCAGATCAGTACCAGACATGTCGGGCCGTGGTTAGAACGTTCCAGCCAGCAGTAACAGTCTCGTTGATCAGTCTTTATGCTCCAGGAGGATTGGTCTGCAACCGGGCCGCGGGGGTGTTGACTCTCAGAAATTCCCTCCAGGTATCTTTTCACCGCGTCAATTCCTCTTGCGTATGTTGTACATCGTTATCATGTCTCCTTTCCTGTCCTCTTATTAATGTCATAGCCCATCCTCAGCTCTGTGTGTGTGTGTTGGTTACCATTTTGTCCTAGGCACATGACGATTAGACACTAGGCCTGGTGTGTGTGTGTGTGTGTGTGTGTGTGTGTGTGTGTGTGTGTGTGTGTGTGTGTGTGTGTGTGTGTACTCACCTAATTGTGGTTGCAGGGGTCGAGACTCAGCTCCTGTGTGTGTGTGTAGGTGTGTGTGTGTAGGTGTGTGTGTGTGTGTGTAGGTGTGTGTGTGCGTAGGTGTGTGTGTGTGTTTGTGTGCATATTTACCTACGTATGTACACACTCGCCTACTTAAGATTGCAAAGGGTGAGTCTCGGCTCCAGGCCCTGTATCTCAAATTGGTCATTACTAAGTTCACTTTCTCCTTGCTTCGTGTGCTCTATCATACCTATTCCTGCAGATGTGTATAGATCCTGCTTCTACCACTTCACATGTTATTCCACTTCCTGACTACTATGAGACTGAAGAAATACGCCATGACACACCACTCTGACTTCACACTGTGCCCACGTATACCTGTTTCCCGCCTTGAGTAATATGTCTCTGTCCATCAATTTCCCTTGAGTATTTTTAATGTCGTTATCATGTCTTCCCTGGTCAGTTTGCTTTCTGATGGCATTATGTTTAGCTGTTTCTTCTCATAGCACATAACCCTGTTTCTAGGAAAAAGCGTGCTGCGAGCCTCCGCACTTTTCCAGTTTCTTGTCAGGCTTGATCAGGTGTACTCACCTATTTGTACTCACCTAATTGTGGTTGCAGGGGTCGAGACTCAGCTCCTGTGTGTGTGTGCGGTGTGCGTGTGCGTGCGTGCGTGCGTGCGTAGCCACAACGGGGTTGATTGATTTGTAAGATTCTCAGTATTATTTGTGCCTTGAACATAGGTAAGACCCCTGAGATACATGCATATGTTGGTGCTGCGATGAATATTCCCATGTGTGTCCAGTCACTGTATCTAGGGGTGAAGGAATGGGTGATTGGTCAAATCATCAATCCACCCTCGGTAAGCAGCTCGTGGATGAGTGAGTTTGGGCCAATCTTCAGTTGCTTATTAAAAAACAAACAGGTATGGTGTCAATTCGAATTGTCTTTAGAAGAAGCACTGCAAGTAGGCCTACTGGCCCATGCTAGGGAGGTCCAACTATTCATGTACACTTAGAGAGTGTTCGCCTCAAGGGAGGGTCCTTGACGCTGGTGAGGGGCTCTTGATCTAGGGAATTGGATCCGTACTCCGGTTCCCTGAATTGAGCCTGAATACCTTCCACCCCCCCCCCCCCCGCACATGCGCTGTATAATCCTACAGCTTAAGATTACTTCTAACCAGGACTAGTCTTTCTTTTTTTTTTTTTTTTGCGTTCAGTTTGCTTGAGATCTACATTGTTGAGTTTATAGGTACCACATTTATTTTATTTTCCCAGTAATAGAACCTTACATTTATCTACATTAAACTGCATCTGTCATTTCTCAGACCACAGCATCAACCTATTTGGGTCATGCTGTAGTTTTCGTTTGTTTTCATCATAATTTATTTGACCGTGTATTTTAGTTGTCATCCCCAAACTTCCATACATCGCTATTCATATCCTTATCCAAGTCGTTTATATATACTATGAACAATAAAGGGCCCAACACTAACCTCTGTGGAACACCACTGGTAACGGCGTCCTCCCCTCCTCCCTTCCCACTGATTTCTCCTCATTTATGCAAACTCTCTGTTGTCCATCTGCCAACCATGCCGCGATCCAGGAGATAATTTCTCCACTTATTCCGTGAGCTGCCACTTTCTTCGACAATCTCCTGTGTGATACTTTCAAAGGCCTTACAGAAATCTATATACACGATAGCGTAATTTTTTTTTTTTTATATTGATCAGTGGCTTCAAATACCTCATACTTTTTGATGAGTTCTGAGAGTTTTTCTACTCCCGGAGCCCGGCTATGGGCCAGGCTTCTCAGCAAAAAAGTTAATAAATTTGTAAGGCAAGAACGCCCCTTCGTAAAACCGTGCTGCGATTCGTTGGTTAAATAATATTTTTCAAATTGGCTTCGAAATCTGTCCGCAATTATCGATTCCACCAGCTTTCCTACAATTGAACTTAAGGTCATTGGTCAAAAGTTTGAGACTAACGACCCGTTTCCCGATTTGTTAGGCTCTCTTAAGGAAGGACACCTCCTATTCGAGTCTTTGATCATATAATCATGTGTAGACAGTACCATTACGAGGTCACTTCTTGCCTGGTGGGTCTTTGTATAAATTTTTCGTTCATTAGTGGACTGTGGTGATTCATTTCTTCACAGCTGATGGATTTGGGTTCAAGACATGACAGGTCGAAACTAGGACTAGTCTCTTATACTTGATGCCCTTGTTCATCTAGCAGTGAATAAGTACTTGGGTGTTAGTCGACTGCTGTGGGTGGAATCCTGAGGAAAAGGGGCGTTGAAACGAGCTGAGGTATAACTTCTCATAGCTTGTAAGTGCAAGTGTAAAAAAAAAGTACTTCATCACTAACAGAACATGAGAATGGAAGAGCACTCCAGGTCTACTGGCCCATGTTAGGCAGGTTGTTCAGATGCAACTATTTTCACTTGTGTATTTGTATAACACTTTTTTTTTTTTGCTAACCGAGACTAATAGAATGTGTTAATTTAAACATTGTTTATCAGTGTGTTGTTGTAAACACTATTGTGTCTAGGTGTATCTTATGGGTGATATTTGTAAGGCAATTTTTTTAAATTATTAACATGTTTTCATATATCATTAATTCTAAAATAAAGTATAACCCTTGGTATCCGTTGGAATATTAGGCTAATTTAAAATTTAAGGGGTATCTTCAAAGACGAGATATTGGAATGAAAGAAATAATGGAAAACCGATGACTATTTGAATATGGCCAGAGCAGCGTGTGTTTCTGTTAGATAGCTTTCTTTGCAGTGTGTATATAGTTTCGGCTGTTTTTCCTCTACTCGTAGTTTTTCCCTTTCCTAGAGTCACTTTTCTTTATCAGTAGTGAGTTGTCCTTTGTGATGAGTTGAACTATATCGTTAGAGTTGTCATGTGTCCTTTGAAGACACGCTTAGTGAATTCTTAGTGCTAGTGCAATTAAAGTGTTAAGGTCTTTCCTGAGTATGGAAGAGGTCAGATGTAAG